GTGAAACGGCTGAAGGATGCGAGGTACCCACGAGCCGAGGAGTTCGGACGGCAGATGGAGGTTCTTGGGCGGCTCAGACACCCCAATTTGGTCCCTCTCAGAGCCTATTTCCAGGCTAAGGAGGAACGCCTGCTCGTATACGATTATTTCCCTAATGGCAGCCTCTTCTCTCTCATCCATGGTAAGTAGTGTCGGTCACCTTACAACTTTTTTAATCATGTTCTTGTTGAAATTTTGCTGACTATTTGATTTGCAATTGCTGCCACACGAGTTGAGTATTGGGTCTTGGGTCTTGTGTGTTAATGCTGAAAAGTCTATTACCGATAGTAAACTGTTAAGTTAGCCATTGAAGTACGAATCTGATGTCTTGTTGAGAAATGGGTATTCTGCTAAGGGACAAAAAGAAAATGATTTTCCGTACCCAACTTGATTTGATTCTGTTATATGAAAACTGTGTGATTAAATCTAAACAATTGAGACAAGTTTCAATGAAAGTGTATAATTATACTAGTTGGCTCGGCCAGGCTCCCCTAAGCCATGCTGACATAACTCAAAGTTTCACAGAAAAGCGTGGGGGACATGCTCTGGTAAAAGCTAACCTCGTGTCTTGTGGTAGACTTGGGCAAAAGTTGAGATTCACAGATCACGTGGCTTTCCCCATACTCCCGTTGCCTCTCACCTTTTACTAGTTTTGTTGACATGCTTGTGCAGTTATGCTCCGTCCACCCCTTTCATGTTCTTTTTTCTAGGAACACACTGCTGATGATGAAAATAAAGGGTTAAATATGGGTGAAAGGTCTTAATCCTTGTGCTTTTGAGAATGATCAGGGACATGATTATACATTCATTATTGTATCATTGTCTTGTGATGGGCCCGCATTATTATGTGCATCATACCATAGTACTCTGTACTGCATACCACACATTATGTTTTCCCATTACATAGATCTGCCAGGATTTCCATCCAGCTTAATAACGACAATGTCCATTATTTTCATGTCCCTACTTTTCAAATGTATGAATATGATTAAAAAGTTGAGTTCTTGATTTGGGGAAACGGATATTGGCCTTAATTTGGATGACAACTCATCTTTCAAACCTCAGCCCATTAATCTCCAATTGGATTTAGAGTTATGTGCTTAAAATATGCCATTGTTTTCATGCTTGTAGTAGTGTTCTTGTGCTTATTTTATTCCCTTTATTTTCTCTCTTTTGTCCCTTTCACATGGCATTTTCATCATAACTCTGAGTTTGCCGATATTGCTGACCAGTCGACTTGTTTGAAATTTTAGGCAAGTTGACCTTAAGCTTTTCCATTTTGTTTTATCATTATTTTACTTGTTTCTTCCTTCTTCTAAATTTAAGCCATTAAAATGTCCAAATATTTCTAGTCAAAATGAGATTCCCTGAAAATTTTCCTGATCTGTTTCTTTTTCCCCTTGGAAGAAGAGGTCCAGAGGACGGTGCTAGAATGGAGATTCTCTGAGACTTTGAGCTATCATTGATTCATTATTGATATAAAACATGGACTTTCTAGTTTGGTAAAATGTCCATATCAGACACTTGGACATTTCAACCCATTTGAAACACTTGAAGTTTTTACGTTTGGTTGAAAAAAAATGGTTGACAAAGAAAAGGAAAAATATATAAGAAAAATAATAAAATTCGAATACGAAAACATCAGACTTGTTTTAAACATGCAAGCATATAAGCATAAATGATTTTTAAATTTCTTTTTCATATGATTTGTCATCTAGGAAAATATATATTTCGTTTTAGATCTTTTTCGAATCTTTTGTTATAAGGTATTGCATGACTAAAAATATGTGATTGATTTCTTCTTCGTCATGAAGCTTTGCATACGCCATTACTTCTTACAATCTTTCAAACATAAATACCATAAATCAAAATATATTTTTAATATGAAAATCATTGGAATGAATGATAATATTCAAATATGCTTAAAAGATGTTTCCTTTAATAATGCATCTTTGTTGTGTCTATGCTCTAATTTTTCAGAAAATGATGTCCCTCTATATCTGTGCTTCGAGACATCAGTCCTTATGTGCAAGTGCATAACATTCATGTCTTATTTCTTAAATTGTATTCCTTTTTCCGTAAGAATTATGGTTTGTTTACTTCAGAAACTGATAGTTCTGTTTATTTGCGTAGTCTAGTTGTTTTGCTTGGCTTCTGCTTCGCATATTATCTTTGTTGGTTCCATCTATTAGTTTCACGCTTTTTTATATGTTTTCGGCTTCCTTATCATTTTAGTCCACTGAATGATGTTGAAATTGTGATTTAGTACTTGTTGAATTAAATTTTGTAATTGCCATGTGATACTTCTATGAACGTTCTCTGAAATTTGTAGATCCATAACATAATGTGCATCTGGGCATTCTTAGTTAGTGAAACTCCTCTTGCTTTCACCAATAATTTGTTTTAAGATACCGTTACAGGATCGAGAACTTCAGGTGGCGGAAAGCCTCTTCATTGGACATCCTGCCTCAAAATAGCTGAAGACTTGGCCAATGGTCTTCTGCATATCCACCAGAACCCTGGCTTAACCCATGGAAACCTGAAATCCTCAAATGTACTATTAGGATCTGATTTCGAGTCATGCCTTACTGATTATGGTCTTAATTTATTCCGAGATCCCGATTCACTGGAAGAACCCAGTGCAACTTCACTCTTTTACCGAGCTCCCGAATGCCGCGACATCCGTAAGCCATCCACACAACAAGCTGACGTCTATAGCTTTGGTGTTCTTCTGTTGGAGCTTCTAACAGGAAAAACGCCATTTCAAGATCTAGTCCAAGAACATGGTTCCGATATTCCCAAGTGGGTTAATTCAGTTAGGGAAGAAGAGACGGAATCTGGGGACGACCCGGCTTCTGGAAACGAGGCATCGGAAGAGAAACTCCAAGCTCTTTTGAACATTGCAATGGCCTGCGTTTCACTCACACCGCATAACCGACCTACGATGAGGGAAGTTCTAAAGATGATAAGAGATACAAGAGCAGAGGCTCAAATCTCATCCAACAGTAGTGACCATTCACCAGGGAGATGGTCGGATATTGTCCAGAGTTTGCCCAGGGAAGAACATTTAAGTATTTGAATGGCTTCCATCTTACAAGTATGCATTTTGATTATTATTGTTGTTGCTGCTGCTGTTATTGATTTTCATTTTTAACGAATCTTGATTCTTGATCTAGGATATTAGAGAGTGTAAAGTTGTTAGATTTTATCAGTAGAGGTTCTTCTTTCGGCTAGTTTCGAGTTTCTATAAAGCGAGAAGCGGAGTTGGAGCTGATGCACATGGTTCGTCGTTGTCTTGAGCTCTCGATGCACATTTGACGCGAAACAGGTAATTTATCTCTAGAAGAGTTGGAAGTGTAGCGTTTTTAGGTGATTCAATGTCATTATTCCAACCCAATTATTTGCTTCATATTGTTCAATGAATATACATTTCACACACAGTGCAGTGCAGTTGATGATTTTTTCCATCAATAATGGTTATCAGTTATTTGATCTTCATGCTTGTTTTGAGTCCTTTATGGAGTTGGTTGACAAGAACAAAGACCAAAGGCCACTAGGATGTAAGTGGATGGTCAAGAGAAACCTGGATACCTTAGATGGTGAGGAGTGTTTTCAAGTAAAATAATCGAAGAAAACAGTTAAAGGCATGTTCGGGAGTGATTTTAGTATGGTCAAAATCACTTTTCACGTTTTCTAAAGTCACTTGAATATCATTATCAAACAGCACAATTTTAAATGAAGCTGGTTTTGACAATGACAGAAGTGATTTTGTTTATGTTATAATTGTTTCCAAACAAGCGATGATATTGTAAATAAATATTAGTTACCAACTAATTATTTAGTTTAATTTAAAATAATATTATTTAATTATTTAATATTTCTGTTATAAAATTTGTATAATTATTGTTTTTTCAGTACTGTAATTATTATTTTAAATGTTATATAGTTTGTAATATATTTTACCTGTTTTAATTTTAACAAAAATAACATGCAATAATATATTTATTAAAGTTTTTTTTAATGTAATTATGTATTTTAAAGTTTCAAAGTTTCAAATTCTCTAGCTTGCGGATTCTGTATATATAAAGTTGGAATACAAATTTTGCCTCTCTCTAGAACATTTCTTACTCCACCTCTGGCTATCAGAAAAGGAATTTGGTTGAAGAGAATACTTAAAAACTTAATAGATAAATGAATTAATTAATTAAGATTTATTGTGACAATTAAAGTGCAATTCTCTAAATAAAAATCCAGTGTTCAACCAGAGCAGATTAACAAGAAGTTGTATTTTGTTCAAAACAGCTGAGAAAATGAACTTGCACTGTGAAGAAAACTCAGCAAATATGTTAAAGCTATTAACAATACCAATTCTTGGAATCAAATTTAAAATTAGACTTTTGGAATTTATCACAGTTATAGAATATACTAAATAAGTCCAACCAAATAGCACAACAAAACGAGTAGTCCAACTCACCACTGTTATTTTGTACTCTATTATTAGTGATATATGTATTAACCGATTGAGCTGGTAATTTATTGTATATCGTCGGCTAAGTATTTTGGATTCGATAGTATTTAACTAATATCATAATAGAAGATCTTGTGTTCACATCCTTGAAATTATATTCTCTCTGACTCCAATTAACATTGATAATCATCTGTTGTGCTTTGTGCTAATAACCAAGCGCTTAAGTGAAAGGAAATATTAAGAACTCATCACCTTACTATTAAAGTATAGTCAAAGTGGTCAAAATATATATTTTCGATTAGAAAGTTGGAATTTTGAATTTTCACGTCTACATGTTGAACTAAAAAGAAAAAACTTCAGCTCTTAGATTCCGTGGTAGTTTAACCAAAGAGTCCATAAATTTTCTTATTTAGGGAATATTCTTGTAACTTGCTAAACGTTAGTGAATTGGTTCATCTTGAGCAAGTGGAGCAAGTGAATGTAAGTTTGGAGACTTTTTTAGACTAACCTTCAACTTTATTTTCACAATTTTATTTTATTAATATATATATAATATATATATAATATAATTAGGAGTTAGAGTTTTGCTCTTCTATATCCAGGGACACTTGCGCCGAACTTGGAGACATGAAGGATTTTTTATATTAAATTCATCAGAAAGTTCGAAATTGAGACCTCTAAATCAATATATCAAGAAATCCCAAACCGTGGTAAATTGGAGTGCCCATTGGGATTTATTTTCACAATTTTATTTTATTTTATTTTTAACATTTGAACTTCTCTGTTTATTTTCTTCATCTCCAACTTTTTTTATGTTTTATTACAATCCATATACTTTTAAATGTTTTGATATATAATATATAAACTTTGTATAAAGTTGTCAATTCGAAGACTTTGACATGCCTCATCCGCCCGCCTTGCAATGCTTTTCCATTCTCAACTCACCCAACAAACATCCACCTCCTTCTTTTATCGGGACGAGCCATTTCTTCGAAAGGGGAGCGATCGTAGGCAATCTCGTCTCCCCAAACATGCTACAATTATGCAAGTTAGACTATTTTTTATCCTCAAAAACAACCAACCAAACAACCATATTAGTGAATAAAGCATCTATTATATTCTCCACGTATTAAATTTTTGTTAAATGATTTATAGAAAAATTAACCACCATTAGTAAGTTTTAAGATTGAAATAGGATTTTAAATTATTTTTACAATGGGTGGAAGTCATTCAAAAGGAATCCTCATTTTATTTATATCAAATAATCAATTGTTTACCATCTAAAATCTCTTAAAAGCAAATCCAAAAAATTTTCACCCACTCTTTTATTTTTTTTTTTTCTATCAACATGATCTTTAGTCATTCATAAGCCTCCCCCAAATTCCCAATCAGAAATATTGATTGAAGAAAATTAATTTTTTTTTTAAACAAAGCATCTTCATTTAGAGTTAGCTCAAAACACACCTTCTGTAATAATCTTAATATATTATTACTCACTAAACATATTTTTTTATTCTTTCTACAATAGAGAGGCACTACCACAACTTGATCATCAACTTTTTAGTTTTTAATCAGACAAGTGTCACTCTTCATAGAAGTTTAGATTTTTATTTTACTATGAATTTTG